CACTCACGCTCTCTCAGACTCACTCTCTCTCGCTCTCTCACTCGTGTCTCCCTCACACACTCTGCGCCTCTCACATTCTCACTCAAACTTTCACGCTCACTCTGTGCCTCTCACACTGTGTGTCGCCCCCTCCCTCCCTCCCTCCCTCTCAGCCCTCACGGCTCTCTCGGTCACTCTCTCGTGCTGTGGCTCGCGGCCGGCAGTTGGGGACTGGGCTCGCGGGATGGAACGCTGGTCAGTTTGAACGCCCGTGGGGGGGGGGGGGGGGGAGTTGTTTGATGCGGCGACATTAGAGCAGCGGCCACCCGGGGCAACGGTCCTCCTGCCCGAGCCGCCGCCAGCCTCGCCCCGAGCCACAGGGCAAGGACGGCAGTCACACCGCAACACTGATGGACCCCTTCCTCGGGTGAGGCAAACGATCGCCCGCGGGAACAATTCCGGGTCCGTCACCGAGTGTCTGTCCCATCAAATACTCACGCCCCCACCCCCCACCCCAACCAGCCCCCACCCCAACCAGCCCCCCCCACCCCAACCAGCCCCCACCCCAACCAGCCCCACCCCCCACACAGCCCCCACCCCCCACACCCAACCAGCCCCACCCCAACCAGCCCCACCCCACACCCACACCCCAACAGCCCCCACCCCACACCCCACACCCCAACCAGCCCCTTCCCCAACCAGCCCCCTCCCCACACCCCAACCAGCCCCACCCCAACCAGCCCCTCCCCACACCCAACCAGCCCCCACCCAACCAGCCCCACCCCAACCAGCCCCACCCCAACCAGCCCCCACCCCACACCCCACACCCCAACCAGCCCCTTCCCCAACCAGCCCCCTCCCCACACCCCAACCAGCCCCACCCCCCACCCCAACCAGCCCCCACCCCAACCAGCCCCCACCCCAACCAGCCCCACCCACACCCCACACCCCAACCAGCCCCTTCCCCAACCAGCCCCTCCCCACACCCAACCAGCCCACCCACCCCCCCACCCCAACCAGCCCCCTCCCACACCCCAAGCAGCCCCTCCCCACACCCAACCAGCCCCCTCCCCACACCCCAACCAGCCCCTCCCACACCCCAACCAGCCCCTCCCACACCCAACCAGCCCCCACCCCCCACCCAACCAGCCCCCTCCCACACCCCAACCAGCCCCCCCCCACACCCAACCAGCCCCACCCCCCACCCAACCAGCCCCCACCCCCCACCCCAACCAGCCCCCTCCCCACACCCCAACCAGCCCCTCCCCACACCCAACCAGCCCCCTCCCCCCACCCCAACCAGCCCCCTCCCCCCACACCCAACCAGCCCCCTCCCACCCCAACCAGCCCCCTCCCCCCACCCCAACCAGCCCCCTCCCCCACACCCAACCAGCCCCCTCCCCCACACCCAACCAGCCCCTCCCCACACCCCAACCAGCCCCCTCCCCCCCCAACCAGCCCCTCCCCACACCCCAACCAGCCCCCACACCCAACCAGCCCCCCCCAACCAGCCCCACCCCAACCAGCCCCCTCCCCACACCCAACCAGCCCCTCCCCACACCCAACCAGCCCCCCCCCACACCCAACAGCCCCCCCACACCCAACCAGCCCCACCCCAACCAGCCCCTCCCCACACCAACCAGCCCCCTCCCCACACCCCAACCAGCCCCCTCCCCACACCCCAACCAGCCCACCCCCCACCCCAACCAGCCCCACCCCCACCCACCAGCCCCCACCCCCACCCAACCAGCCCCCTCCCCCCACCCAAACCAGCCCCCTCCCACACCCCAACCAGCCCCCACCCCGACACCCAACCAGCCCCCTCTCCCACCCCCGAACAAGCCCCCTCCCCAACAACCCTCCCCGGCACCCAAACTAACTCCCTCCCGACACCAAACCAGCCCTTCCCCAACACCGAAACCAGCCCCCTCCCCCACAACCAAACCATGCCCCTCCCCGACACCCAAACCAGCCCCTCCCCGACACCCAAACCAGCCCCCTCCCCAACACCCAAACCAGCCCCCACCCCACACCCAAACCAGCCCCCACCCGGACACCCAACTAGCCCCCACCCCGACACCCAAACCAGCCCCTCCCCGACACCCAAACCAGACCCTCCCCCACACCCAAACCAGCCCCACCCGACACCAACCAGCCACCTTCTCCCACCCCGAACAAGCCCCCCCCGAACACCCCTCCCCGGCACCCAAACTAACTCCCTCCCCGACACCCAAACCAGCCCCTCCCCAACACCGAAACCAGCCCCCTCCCCCACAACCAAACCAGCCCCCACCCCGACACCCAAACCAGCCCCATTCCCAACACCCAAACCAGCTCTCCCGACTCCCAAATCAGCCCCCTCCCCGACACCCAAACCAGCTCCCTCCCCGACACCCAAAGCAGCCCCCTCCCCGACACCCAAACCAGCCCCCTCCCCACAACCAAACCAGCCCCTCCCACACACCAAACCATCCCCCTCCCCGACACCCAAACCAGCCCCCTCCTCGACACCCAAACCAGCCCCTCCCCCACACCCAAACCAGCCCCTCCCCGACACCCCAACCAGCCCCCTCCCCAAAATCCAAATCAGCCCCTCCCCAACACCAAACCAACCCATCCCCGACACCCAAACCAACCCCTTCCTGACACCCACACCAGCTCCCTCTCCGACACCCAAACCAGCCCCCTCCCCCACAACCAAACCATCCCCTCCCCCACAACCAAAGCATCCCCCTGCCCGACACCCAAACCAGCCCCACCCCCGACACCCAACCAGCCCCCTCCCCAACACCCAAACCAGCCCCCACCCACACCCAAACCAGCCCCACCCGGACACCCAACTAGCCCCCACCCCGACACCCAAACCAGCCCCCCGGCGGCCGCGGAATAGGTAACTATTGTTTTCACTGCTGTTTGTAAAACAAAACGTCTTAAAATGATTATTGCAGAGAAGGGAAGAACTTTCACTTTAATTTACGTTTTTTTATATTGTGGTTAGGCAAGAGTAAAGAGACAAGAATACTTGCTAAGCAAACAGCACGAGGACGCTGAAACCCGTTCACTGCTGCTTTCTGCTGCTAAATTATGAATGAATCTTGATGCGAGTACGTGCAGTGCGCTACTGATTTGTGCAATGAACTTCTCAATCGCGTCTGCGAAGTTAGTCAAATGCATCAAGGGAACTCTCGGGTGTTTAAAAACAGCGTTTAAGATAATAGAAATACCTCAGACAGTCTTTAGAACAAGTGAGCAAATAGCATGTAACAAAACTACAGGATTTCCATTTATTTGTGCAGGCAGTTCTAAGTGACATGACAACACCACTCATCCTGATGTGATAAAAATCCATGATATTGCATATTGTAGACACGCCGTAAAAGGCTGAATAGCTGCCCATTTGAACTGTACGTCTGCAAAGTGTGCTTTTATTAAGTGTTCGCCCACATGGAGCAGATGAAACGTACAGTTGAAACTTATCATTCTCGTCTTCCAATACACTACATTTTAAGCACATAAAGTTTACGGGTTCCGCCAACCGTGTTTATGTGTTAGTGCTTCAGCGTCTCAGTGGCTGCAACTTCGCTCTCCGCTGAAACCTCCACGAGTGCGTGTAATCCAAGTTCTAGTGCAGTTGTATTATTGACACAGCCGAATGTATCCATGCATGAAAAGAAAATAAGTGCACCCCATGTTGTTCAGTCAAGTATATCAAGTTTTATTGTTTCCTTGTTGCACGGGCTTGCGGATGACACGTGGATTTGAAGTTGTATAAAAAGTCTATTGAACACGGTCTTAATTTCCAATACAGTTATTGAAGTGTTTTTTGGTTGTGACATAAGAAACTCACTCAGCTCGGCGGGGGCTGGGACCTCAGACGTTGTAATGAAGGTGTAATCTGAGTAATGATAGAAATAGCTCAGCCTTTTTCGATTTGGACTGATCGTGTATTGACTAATCCATGGTTAAAGAATAATGCATACATCAGATAACGTTATTATTAATAGAATCCAAATGAGCTGAAATAAGGAACAATTACACTCGTTTTAAGCGTAGTAGTTGTAATACAACTTTTCTACTCGAAACCGCGCAGGTTCTTTGTACAGTAAACGGGTGGTGGATATGTCATACTGGTTCATTCTGTATTAAAAGCAACTCATTTCCGATGGGATTCTTTCAAAGTTTCAGGACTACAAACGCCCATAGAGGTCTAGCATTGCAACACGATTTTTTGAAAAGTAGTGTAGTGCAGAGTTCCTTGTTTTTTCAGGCCACGCAAAGAGAGAGGGGAAGATTGTGTGAACTTGTCTGGTTACAGAAACTTAAGGGGCGCACTTACCACGCTTTTAACCCATGAATGACCGAATCGGTACTTTTATTTTACTAGCAATTACACACATGGGTCACCACCATTTACAGAACTGTATAAAACGAGCGTAAAAGTCGCGTAGAGGAATGCAGTGGCGCTATTATAATCACAGAACTGCAAACTCAGTGTTGCATGAGTATCTTAGTGAAAATGAAACGATTGCTCTGTATCGGAACTTTTAACCTATGTTCATCAAGATATGAGTTGTTTTGCAATTGTTTTAGAAGCAACAATAATATGCGGGCTGCAAAGCATTACACTTACAACGTTTTTTCAGTTTAGTGTATATATATTTAATGTATAAATGTTTATTCCAGCAACAATCACTCCCACCATAGAATTAACAATTTAATGTTTTATTACTATTGCTACAGTAAAGGGATTTGAGGAAATTATAATTTTGTTTTTTATGTGAGTTGATGCTTGTGATAGAATACTTTCCCATTTTTTGGCAGCCAATCACTCTTTGGTCAGGATATTCTTTTGACTTCTTTTGACCCAGAAGACCGCCCCCCCCAACCACTGCAGAAATTAGAATTTTCTTCTTCTTACATAAGCCATCCTTGTGACCTTTCTGAGAGTGACTGGCCAAATACAGACAGAAAAGAGGAGACTTCTTCATTTCAGTGTGGATTGAATTTGAATCCCAGTCCCATGGGTAAGAGGACTGCAGTAAGAAACAATGACAACACTTGTCTTAAGACGAGCAACTCTAGTGCAACCCCCTTGTACTGTCCAGTTCCACTACAGAATGAACCAGTATGACATATCCACCACCCGTTTACTGTACAAAGAACCTGCGCGGTTTCGAGTAGAAAAGTTGTATTACAACTACTACTAAAGTACCGATGACAGTGTTTATGGCCATGGACCTATGTCGACTAGGCGTAGGCTGCCTAAGCTTTTTTTAAAAAAATACTGCTATCTAGAAACAATCTAAGTCAATTTTGCATGTTTAATTTACAAAAATGCAAAATAACTTCAGTTCTGAAAGGGATAAAGAAAATATGAAGTGGATAGATGTGGTATGGTCGATACTATAATGGTCATTTGCTTTCTAACCAAAACGTTCATAAGTTTGGGTTTTAGAATTCTTTGGCACCTGCTTCATTCATCGACATTTTGACAGTTCTCAACTAAGCCACTAGATGGAGACACACGCAAGGGAAGGAAACACTGGTGTTTGAGGCGTGCTTTTTGTGGAACAGTATCTCCTACAGGTTGAGGTTGGAGTGACATCAATGACCATTCTAAAACAGTCCAGAACGGCATGTTGCAGAATAAACAGTGACAACGCTTAAAAGTTGTTTTCTTAAAAAAAATCAAAGCTGTACCTACCTTTTAGTTGAGGTTAATGATATCGTTAAAGTGACAAAAATGCGCTAAAGTAGAACAGTACTTTACCGTACTGTACACTTAGAAGTCCACTAAATGTATTGAGGGCTTATGTAACACACTATTTAAAGCAAATGCTATGGAAACGAACTTCAGAAACATCTTAATTGTTCTTAAAATGCTTTTATTTTGTAAATAATGCTCACCATTTCAAAGTCATTTATTTCTCAGTCTTAGGACCCAATGTGCCAAGCACTATTCCTAGCCATAGTGTATGTAGGGGTTATCCCAGGGTTTTCAGTGCTTATCTGAAGCAAGCTGTCAGATGAACAAAAAAAAGTATGAATAAGCTCTTTATTGTTCCCTCCCTCTCTTCCTTCCCATGAGGGAAGTATCTATGCTCCACTTCACACCTCCTTTTTACAGCATTACTGAGATTGGTAACATGATTATTGGTGCAAATCTACTTCCTACCACTGTTTAAGTGCAGAATGCGGAAAATGCTACTAACTACCCAACTCACATGCATCAAATGAATACAAACAAGCGTCAGTGTTAATGGAGGAAGAACAATAATTGTATGCATCTTAAAAGCATCCAAGATAGGAATAGTGACTGTAGCATAGCATTTTAATTTTCATCAACAAGGCTGATATTTAATAGAGTACACTGACACCTTAGCAAAAGATTGATCTGTAATAAACCAAACTTATCTTCCAAAATCATAGAAATTAAAACCTATTCAAACGTAAGGAAATTGTGTAATTGGAAATAGTTCATAATATGCCTGAAAGTTTAATGGAATAGTTACAGTATTATAGATTGTTGTTAATTTTGAGCACTTTTTCACTATTATCAGCCCACTTTGTTAGTCCAAATACTGACTGTCCAGCACTTTGGGACGTCCTCATGACGTGAAAGATGCTATACAAATGTAATTTGTTGTTGTTGTTGTTGATGTATGTGGTTTAAAGTAACAGTTTTTTTATTATAACCTAGATGGAATATGTAAAGCCACTAAAATCATCAAAATTTGGCCTGTATCTATAAATACTTCAAATAATTGAATGTTTATAGATGCTCAAAAAGTTCTACTGATTTTTTTTCACTCTGCTATAAGTTACTTTGCTCCGATATTACCATTACTCAGAGGGCACTGAAGACTTGAAGATATCATTTCCTACTTCATTAATACAATTCCTTTGTGTGCAGTTTGTACAGCAGCGATGAGGAAGAAGAAGAGATTGAAATGTTTGATCATGATTATGATGGTCCTCAACCAAAGTCTTGTAAACGTCAGTTAAGTAAAACACGATGGACACGTGAAGAAGTAAGTCAGCTGGAACTGTTACATCTGCTTCGTAAATTTATTAATTAAAATGACAAAAAAGATAATGAACTATCTTAACTTAGTTTGACACATTAATCTCATGCACAGTATTCTTTGACTTTGTATAAGTCTTGAGCTAGTAAAAAGCACACTGAAATTATTTAAATGTCAAACTCCAGCAATTATTAATCAGTTTAAGCTATTGTTAACTTGTATTTAGAGTGCATGTTATAGCGTCAACGTGACTTTCTACAGTACTTAATGTTTGCATGTAATGAAATACTCTTTTTAAAATAAAAAATGTGTTTTAAAGGATGAAAAATTGAAGAAATTAGTTGAACAACATGGAATAGAAGACTGGAAAGTGATTGCTAATTTTCTTCCAGTAAGAACCACTTTTCTCTTCCATCATAGTCTTTTTATTTGCTTCTATTTCATGTGTTTTTATATGCAATTCGTGATTCTGATTCACTTATTGTATGCATTTTGTTTGTAATGTTTTTTTGAGAACCTCTAATTAGTCTAAATACATATTTTTTCCCATAAATTTATTAGCACATATTAATTTTTGTCCCTTTAAGTTTAGGGAGTGGTTCAATTTCAACNAAAAAACATTTTTAGTGTTGAAGAGTAAGTTCTAGAACTAATATTATTGTTTTTTTAAAAAAATCCAGTGAGTTAATGGTCTCCTCAATTACCAAGAACCAGTTACCAAGTCTGAGATTATATAAACCATATATTTTATTTTCTGTTGTTGAAATTTTTTTTTGTTGCAATATAATTGAGGTTGCACTATACCTTGTTAGATATTATATTGCAAGGTTTAATAGATACATTTTATCATTCCTTAGTGAAGGTAAACAATTTTATATTGCTCAAGCCTTTTAAATCTAAACCCTACACAAACTAGATTTTTTTATTGATCCCTAAATCCTCAGAACTTGGTCAATTAATTTTACTTTTGCAATTCAAAATTGAGTTGTATGAGTTGCCACCAGATAAACTATGAAGAACTATGAAAAATTAACACTCAGCAAACAATGTAAAATGTTACACAAACGTTGCTGATTGGGAGAATTCATCAATTTATATGTTGTGGAGAATAATCTAAGAAACTGGTATACCCAAACCTTTCAGATGTTTTATATTAACATAGTAGATGTACTATGTTGATAACTTATTTTCCTAATCGTATAGCCTCTACATGTTTAAAAAGTGAAATGTGGAAATGAAACTTGTCCGCTTAGTATTGCATTGAATTAAAGCCACAAAGTGTTTATCATTCTCTTTAAAGCTCTTTAAGACATTAGTATTAGTTCCTGTATTCTTCCACAAATCTAGAACCGGACTGATGTGCAGTGCCAGCACCGATGGCAAAAAGTCCTAAATCCTGAGTTGATTAAAGGCCCTTGGACAAAAGAAGAGGATCAAAGGGTAAGTTCCTTTGTCTCTATACAATTGAAATATTTAATAATTTAACATTATTTTCTAAGTGTTAAAACTATAATAAGCTTCAATAGCAAGTAAAGTTTTCTTTTAAAAATTGCTGCGATGCAGAGGTCATAGAATTTTTGAGGGAAAGTACACTTTGTACACTTCTTTATCACTTTGTGCCATCCACAAAAGAACTAAGGAACTCACCAAAGAGGAAGTTTGGTATTTACATCTGATCATTCAATGCCACAGAACCATTCATCCTAAACTAGTCCATCAACTGAAGCACAAATTTCAATTAACCTTATACTTGTGGAGTCCTGTAGCTATGTGGTTAGAACACTCGCTTTGCACACGAGAGACCTGGGTTTGATTCCCGGCAGGGTGAAACTTTGGGCAAGTTTTCTTACTCCACATGCCTGATAATAATCCCTCAAAAAAAATAATAAATTGGTCATTTCAATCCACGACTGTTTGTCTGCCACATTTCGCGCACAAGTATGCAGTCAATTCTGTGAAGCACTTTGAGACGTCTAGAAGACGTGAAAAGCGCTATATCAAATGCAAGGATATTATTATTATTAAACTTAACTTTCCAGATAGAATTGTGGAAAATTCTATCTATCTGGTTTGCCATATTCTTAAAAACAACAGCTTCCAAATTGAATTAAATAATTTTCCGCTATGTGTATAATCCTAAAATTGTTAATACAAGACAGGTTTAGACTAGGTGGAATTTCAGGCCTCACTGTTGGGCATTTTGTTCCTTTTAGAATGGTGTACTTTTCCAAATAAGTTTTTAAAACCACCTTGAAGTTTACTTTTGGATGTTTTTCTACTGAACCACCTTAAATTAAGAGCTAAATGATTACAATGTCATGTTAGTGAAGTTAAAATCCACGTAATTTGAATGTCATCTTTTTGCAGGTAATAGAACTTGTTCAGAAATATGGCCCAAAACGTTGGTCTGTAATAGCAAAGCACTTAAAAGGTAGAATAGGGAAACAATGCAGGGAACGATGGCACAACCACTTGAACCCTGAGGTGAAAAAAACTTCCTGGACTGAGGAAGAAGACCGAATTATATACCAAGCACATAAAAGACTTGGGAACAGATGGGCAGAAATAGCAAAGCTGCTTCCTGGAAGGTAAGCTGCATTGAAGAAAGACTAACGTATAAAATGCATGCCCGGGCACATTTATGTTGCTGTACAAATGGATAGAAATGACGTCTCTTGCAATGTAACATTTTATGTTATTTGCAAATGGATAACATAAAAAGTTACATTGCAACCCAATTACTTATCTGACAAAATGATTTGCACNAAAAATACTCGTATATTAAAATTAATGTGACCACTGAATAAAAGAATGAATTATAAAAACTTCAACCAGAGTTTTGGAATTTTGGAATTCGTATCAGATCATGGAGGGATTTACCTTGTGTCTTATTACTTGCTTTGTCTCACTGCCAAACTTGTCAACATTCTTTCAGTATTTTACAGTATGTAAGACAATCGGTTTGTTCTCCAGATGTAAATTTTTCAATAGCGGTACATTATTATGGATGTCTGGAGACTAAATTATTCTACCTGAAACATTGTGGGAGGTACTTTGCTTACTGTATTGCTTTATGCATAATATGCATCCCATCTCTTCAGGGAAAAATACCAGAAACAAAAGTGTGCATAATGCACAAACGTATTGATTGTTATGTGCAAGCAATTCTTTGGGTGCAAGCAATTTATCCCAGCATAGGTTTTGGATATTAACAGTAAAGCTGCTGTAAATGAATTCTGAAAAACATTTTTGAAATAATTAATTGTATATTTAATTAAACCTATTCCACAACATTTATAAAACTTAATATTGGCCACAAAATTCAGAAGAGCGGGATTGGGGGTGGGGGCTCCATTTTAACAGTTTATATTCATTGTTTGAAAATAAAGGTCCTACACATGATTTTGAGGTTTGGTAGCTATAAATGATAATTGAACAACAGTATCATGATGATATCACTACTTTGCCCATTTGTGGAAGGTAGCAAATGCATAATGATATCAAATCAGTGTTATCATTTATGATTGACAGCCTCAAACGCAGTGTGAAATGATGGTGAGGAGTGGGTGGATGAGAACATAATCTTCAGAAAGTAAAGTCTTAAGTCTGGTGGGTAGTGGAGAACTAAAGTTATAGTGTTGCAGCAACCAATTTATGTCAACAAAAGCCACTATAACACTTGTACAATGTAGCAGCCTCTAGTGGTAGAAAGTGAGATGTGTAACAGTAGTGCTACAGGTAGAATTGAGATTTGACAGGTGTCAGTTCTTAACCAAAAGAATCAACCCCTTGAATTGTGCGCTACAGATAAATAAGAAAGGAAGAATGCATGGTTTGTTAAACCGCTATCAGGCTATCAGCATTGGTTTGACAGGTGACCCATTTATTTCTTGAGAAGATGTTGGCTTTTATAACCACCAAGCCTGGTTAATTTATTTGCTACTAAATGTGCTACTGACAACACATATAATATAACACATGTAATATCCATATAATATGCTCATTTGATATGGGGGAAAAGAACCTTGATTTTAACAACACCTAATCTGTTCCAGACTTGGTCAGTTTTGCTGTACCCACGCCTGCTGTTCTGAACTGTGCATCTGAATACATTTTTAAACCTAGCTTTATTTCCTTTCATAAATTGATTGATGTGTTATTCTGGATATGCTGTTATGGAATAAAATGTACAACTCAAATAACATACAGCATCTCTTTGTACATAGGACTGATAATGCTATCAAGAACCACTGGAATTCCACAATGCGCCGAAAAGTAGAGCAGGAAGGCTATCTGCAGGAATGTGCCAAAGCCAACCAGCAATCAGCAGCTACAAACTTTCAAAAAAATAACCATATCATGGCTTTTGCCCATACTCCCCCTTCCAACCAAATGCCTGTTACCCAACATCACATAAATGGCGATTATGCATACTTTCATATTCCTGATCCACAAGATGTAAGATGTTAGGATTTCTTTTACTGTTTTTGAATAAACTTTTGGCATTGTCTGATGCTAGTTCTAGCCGAGCTGTATGTGTACAATTTTTTTAAACAATGTTGAAAATTTAACTGAATAAAAGAAGTTCAGTAACTTAATGTTCCTCATTGATGGGGCTTTATATTCTAACAAAAGTAATATTTCCAGTTTTTATTATAGTTGTGTTTTGTGCAACAATTCTAAATTGCTGTGTCCTTAAATGTAAAAGAATTTGTAAAAACGCAATAAATGTAGCTATGCATATTTACACATTGTATTTTTCAAAATAAATTATTAAACATTCTAGCAGTATTAGATTTGTAAATACTTTATACCAATTATACTTTTATGTAGACATAATACAAAAGAAAATTGGCTAGACTATTCTTTATCTTCTTGTTCAGATTTCTAGTCAGATGCCCTATCCCGTAGCTCTACATGTGAATATGGCAAACATTCCCCAGCCAGCCACTGCAGCAATCCAGGTAAATACATTTTTTATTCTTACAATACAAATTTACATTTAGTGCCTTTCATGTCAGGAGGACGTCTCAAGGCTCAGGGACATTCTTCCTGATAACTTACATAAGAAATACAAAGCCCACTTATTCTGCAGAAACAGTTTCACACATCTTTCAGGAAGTACTGTATGTGATCAATTTTTTGAATTTAAAAGAAATTCATCATTTCTGTATTAACTCACGAACATACCGTTTATCCACAAGCAAGTTCATTAGTTAGTTTTGACCTCTGTGGTTGCATTGGCCTCAGCTGTGGTAGCTGAAGCCAGGAAGTCTTAATCACTGTAACATTACATTTAAAATCATACCCTTTGATCTTTTCTTTCTTTTCCTCAACTCTTAATTTCAGAGGCACTATAATGATGAAGATCCTGAGAAAGAGAAAAGAATAAAGGAATTAGAGTTGCTACTAATGTCGACTGAGAATGAACTGAGGGGGCATCAGGCATTACCAGTAAGAATGTCACTGTGTGGCTTGGATAAAGGGATAGCAGCTTCACCCCAGTGCTCTTTTCTTTTCATCTCTACGTTTTCAGTGGCTCTATATTGTTTTCAAATGAATATGCCCACCGAATGGGCATATCATAACTCAAACATATTCCTGTTGCTAATGTTATACCTTAGGTATAACAATTAAAATTGGCATCTCTACATTATGGCTGTAGAGCAAGAGTGGATTAATTTTTTTCTTACTGATTTAAAGAAAATCTTTTTGTTCATGATCTAATTCATATTCTGAGTCTCAAAAAGCTTAAATGCAACAATGATGAGGACACTAGTACTGTACTACTTTGCCAATATGATTTTTAAAAAACCTTCAGACTCGAAAATCTTCAGACTCGACCCTTGAAAATAATCTAGAACCCATTTCTAATTTCTATCGTTTTCGCTTTCTAAAGCACTGTTCTCTATTTTTTATAATTGCATTTCACTGCCAGTGTATGCTCATTTTTATAAAAAAATGCATGTTTTGAATGTTACTGCTTTGCTCTTTTTAAAAATTGTGCATCGTTTCCATGACTGCTTCTCTTAACACATTTTGCTTGAATTACTAACAAACAGTAATGCATGAGAAACAACCCTCACTGGATTTTCACTAAATTCTGTAATGTGTGAGCAGTATTTCAGTTTTAAACGCAACAGTACTGGTTTTGGTTTTACTGTATGTGGCAGATGTGCCAGATAAAAACTAGTGAAAATAAATGGCCAGCAGACTCAGTGTTTTTGCGGGGATATCGATGGTGCAGTGTTTTTGCATGAATAATAACTTGCATGATAGTTTGTATAACTGTACTAATAGTTTACAATTAGAAACAATATAAACCTGATTTTATTTTGAATGTGTATCATTTCTTCCATCACCTGACTACATATTAAGCTTATCTCTATTTCCTCCTCTGTTTTCTGACGATTTTGATTTGCTCACCTCTGTGTTGCGTTGGTGTGAGCTGTCATCAGACAGGGATAGCTGCAGTAATTTTACTGAAAAAAAAGCAACTCTAACTCAACATTCTAAACTGTCCTAAGCTATAGGTGTTAACTATTACAGGAAAAAGAAAGGTACATAGAACACACAGCTCTGCAAGCTTAGTTTTGTTTGTCCTATTGTTTTTGTCGATTATCCAGGTGGAAGATATTACCAATTGCTTTGCTGATCAATGAAGACAACTCTACCTTGGTTACAATATGAAACCCTTCAGTTTTTGTTTGAACAGTTAGAAGAGACAGGAGTTTATGCAGAGAATGTATTCTATTTCAGAAAGTGGGGCAGTAGTTTGAATAGAATCATGCAACACAGGAAAACCTCACACAAGGTTTCAAAAGAAATGATGCAACTTTTAACATGCTTAAGCTAATATGTGGCTAATGCATTGTGCAATCTAATTGCTAACTTCCCTTACTCTCTCTTTCTACAGACTCAAGCAGCAGACTACTCAGGTTGGAATAGTACTGTGGTCATTGGCAATACAGGAATTCACAGCAGTAATGTGACCTTAACATGCTTGGGAGAACACCGGCACCCCGCACACCCATCTCCCATGGACCACGGTTGCCTCCCTGAAGAGAGTGCTTCGCCAGCAAGGTGTATGATTCATCCCAATGGAATACTTTCACCATTGAGAAATGTCACCGAATACTCAGAAGCATTTCAACTAATAGATTCAGTGAGTGATTCTCTGTGTTTCATTAAAGTCAGGTGCATAAGATACCTATTCTAAATGTTAGCTAAAGAACGTCCAATCTTCTTAGCCAAATCAGCAGACTAAGGAGAGATGCTGGCAGATCTGGCATTATGTGCAATAGAGGATTGGTATCGCAGCGTTTAAAATACTCCTCAGTTTGAAATGTTGAACTACTTTTGGTAAATTACTTTATTTTCGAAACCTTAAATGTTACTAATAATAATTCTTGCATTTGATAATAGCGTCTTATTCATCTTCGAGACATCTCAAATTGCTTCACAGAACATACTGTAAAGTGAATTGACTGTATTCTTGTGCCTCCACTGGCTCCCCATCCCCCAGAGGATCGAATTCAAGATCCTCATCCTCACCTACAAGGCCATTCACGGCCTTGCTCCGTCCTACCTCTCCGACCTACTATCCCCCTACTTACCTGCCCGTACCCTCCTTTCCTCTGGCTCCGGTCTGCTCCACATCCCTCGCCCCAACCGCCCTACCACCGGTGGCCGGGCCTTCAGCCTCTCAGCCCCTAAGCTCTGGAACTCTATCCCCCAGTGCCTTCGCCGCCTCCTCCCTTTCCTCCTTCAAGGCCGGTCTCAAGACCTTTCTCTTTGACCGTGCCTTCAGCTCCCCTCTCGACTCTCTACCCCTCCTCGCTCCCTCCCTTCCCTCCCCTCACCCTGACCATTTCCCCCCTGCTCGGGTCCTGACCCAACTGTACAGCGCCTTGGGACGTCCTCCCAACGTGAAAGGCGCTCTATAAATGGAATCTTGTTGTTGTTGTTTGTGGGCGAAATGCAGTTCAGAGTATGAAATTGAAATAAATAATAAGTGAATATTAGGCAAATAAACGTTTTCATTTTGACTCTTTGATATTCAACCTTACATTGTTAAAATGTAAAATAAGTCTTGGTAAGTGACTTAATTACATTTTCTTCCAAAAACAATGCTACAGGCATTAATCTGTTGGATGTTCTTGCATTTAGAGTTAACAGGTAAGATTGGTAAAAAGTTGCAGAGTGATTCGGAACACAAAATGTATGTAAACTTGTTTTAGGTACTTTGTAAAGTCTTACTGCTGAAATTCATTTAGGAAGAAAGAACTTAAGCATGTTCTAAAGAAGGACTTTAATTACAAATAATTGTACAAAGGGGTATTCCCAGCAAACCGGTTGCTATGGCTTTACCAAGCTGTAGTATATAGGATTTAGTTAAATCAGGTGGCACTGTTTGCCGTTTATAGATTCGTGCCTCCCAAATTGTTTCAGGATCCATCTGCATGGGGTGACCTCAGCAGTTTCGACTTCTTCGAAGGGGAATACAGCACAGCTAGCAAAAACGTTACAGCCAAAAGCACACAGCTTCAGCACAGAGAGAGCAGCATTTGCCAGTATGAAGGACATACTAACACAAGCCTAAGAAAAAGCATGGTGTGTCAGGGTTCCCCGGCTTTGCTCAGCTCACCCTCTGCTTCAAAGTTCAGCATTCCACCAACTATCCTTCGCCGCAAAAAGAGAGGGCATCCCAGCCACTCAACTAGTGGTGATAGTATTTGCTCCACACTAGCTGTCTTCAGCTGCTCTACGCCCAAGCGCACCCTTGTCAAAAGTCTGCCCTTCTCTCCCTCGCAGGTAGATGAATAGCAATCAACAGATATTACTAATACTGCAACAGACATGAAATGGTTAACAATTTAGAAACTAATTCTATGGAGAAAATGACTAATCACTTTTGTATTCACTGATTTGACTACATATTTTTAACCCACTCACTACTGTCCCTCTGACCACTCTCCTCAGATCAGCACCATGCTAATTAGTGATTGTTTCATCTTTCTGCACTTAAATGCCAAGGTTTTTTTCTTGATCAGTTTTCTTGAATTGTTGTGCCTCTGCATTTTAAGCTCATTCTAGTCTAAATTGAAAGAAGTTGTGTTTCCCGCAACCAAGTCTTAGACGGTTTTTAGTTATTCAATACACAAAGGTTTTCTTTATTACACGTTGCACTGTAATCTCGCTGCCACACACTACAGTTAACTTACACATTTTTCATATGCTGAACATATTATTTGAATGCGTTATATTTGTACATTCTATTTAAGTCTGTTGAAAAGTATGTTTTCCTTTCATTTGTTTGACTATTAAAAATCCAGACTTAAGATAATGAGGGTTCAGGAATGAAATGCTTCCAACTTTAAAAGCTTCCAACAATCCAGCTTTGAAAGTAACTTCCTGTTTTCAAACTTTATTGAAGTCATTCAAAGTCACCCTCTGTTACTGGAAACACAACTTTTTATAATGGTGTTACTTTGTGATGGATGATTGCATCTCATTTAATTGTTTCGGCTGCACAAATGATCACTGTTAGAGGTTAACCCCAGTCAGTGACAGTTTGTCTTTTGGTTCAATTTAGTTCATTGTAATGAATCTTCTCTTTTCAGTTTCTAAACCCATCTGCAAATGACCATCTAGAAATGGAATCTCCTGCATTAACTTCTACCCCAATATGCAATCAAAAGGTCAATGGAACAACTGCACTACTACACCGTGAACAAACATGTAAATCTCACAAAGAGAATGATGCGTGAGTACGCTTTTGCTCAGTACTAATGTTTCTTTCTGCATTTCTTATATATGCATTGTTGGTCCTTCAGATGAGACGTTAAACCGAGGTCAGACATTAAAGATCCAATGGCACTATTTAAGTGCTTTGAGACGTTCTCCTGCAGTGAAAGGTGTTATCAAATGCAAAGATTACTATTATTATAATTATTTGTAACAGACGCTTGTTTTTAGTATTATTAAAAATGAAAAATCCAATATGCAGAAGGATTTGCCTTATTTGGGATAATTTTGCAGTGGTTTCTTGTTGAGTGTTGGTGTAGTCATTGTTTGTAGAGGGAAATGCTTGCTTGTCACAATTTGGCTTCAGAATGTTTTCTCTAAAATGTTTCATTCTGTGATTTGTTTAAAAAAAAGTTTGAAGAAAGAAACTCTAATTGCATACAAATTCTAAGTAAACTGTTATTTTGGCTGCATACTCATAAAGGGTTACATTAACAAAATGTCAAATGTCACCAGTCACACTGAGATGCAATTGCAACTATTTTTGTTAGCCATGATTGTTCAATCAGACAGTTTGGGTAATATCTTGCTTTTCCTGTTGTAATGCTTCGCACCAGGATGGTAGGACATAGATTTGCAGCCACAGTACTACCCCACAAATCTATAAGTAACATTGAACTCAGGATGTCATCTCAGCCTGCTCTTCTATATATCTTAAGGCTGAGATCAACAGCAGGATTCCCTATGCCTGCTCACAGAATATGATGTAAACAACAATAACACATTTGTATAGCGCCTTTCACGTCGGGAGGATGTCCCAAGGCGCTGGATAGAGTACAGCATTTCAGATCTGAGCTGGGGTCAGGGGGGAGAAGGGAGGGGAGGGGAAGGGGGGTGGCCGATGGCATGGTCGAAGAGGAGGGTCTTGAGAAAAAATTGAGGGTCTAGAGAATGAGAGTAAACTCATGTGATTTTTAAAATTTAAATCTTTCTTCACAACACAAGTAGCAGTTTAGCTCATTTTGTTTTGTTTAAGCAGTTTCAGAACCCCAAACATCAGACGATCAATATTAGAAGGCTCACCAAGAACACCAACACCCTTTAAAAATGCACTTGCTGCTCAAGAAATCAAATATGGTCCTTTGAAGATGCTGGTAAGGATATCTAGCCAGCATGTTTCATCATATCATTGCAGGTGATTTCAAAGATATGCAAACAAAGGTTTTAGATGTAATGTGTTATTTCTTTACATCCAAAGACACCATCTCATCTTGCTGAAGATATTCAGGAAGTAATTAAACAAGAAGTCGATGAGACAGAAATTCTAACTCGTCTTCATGAAGGTGCACTACCTCCTTTGAAGAAGATTAAGCAAGAAGTAAGTCATTAGAATTTATTGAAGAATTATTTTCCTCTTCCTTATTAGGTTTTCCTCACTTATGATGGATTTTGTGCAGGTATGTTTACAGAACGAGAATCATGAAGTAATAATTTATGTAATGTTATTATTTTAGTCTCCTCCACGGAGTCTATCAAACACTCTGGTAACTTAACCCTTTCATGTATTCCCCCCTTCAAATTATAGCTAATCAGTTTGTACATGCTCGGAAATGATGTAATATTGGGACATCACTATGCTACCAACATCATGTTTTTTTGCAAAGTTGTCTGGCATGATTCTGACTGGACTCTAAGGCTATTTGCCACCAATTTATCAGTTGGGAGATGGGAGAACAGTGGGGAAAGAATGCCCACATTAAATCCCATTTACAGTCATTTTTTCTGACAACAGCAATTTTACATAACTTCTTTCAAGTCAGAAGGATGTCTAAAAATGCTTCACATAGCATGTTGAGACTGAGCACCAGAGCTGGGTACCAGAAGTCATGTTTATGTTTTGTACTAACTTGATCTACAAATTCTGGTAATGATGTCCAGCAAGCTATTTCATCACATCATGGAAGTTCTACAAATGTTTTCATGCCTTGACACCTCCCAACAACGTCTCTGACCTACTTACTTCCCATTCCACACCCGCTGCCCCCACTTGACTGGCTCCGGACTCCTGCTTGTCCCTCGCTCCACTCCACCATTGTCGGCCGGGCTTTCAGCCACTACGCTCCAAAACTTTGCACTCTCTCCGTCAATCCCTCCATCTTGCCCCCTCCTTCGCCTGAAGACCTTCCTCTTTGACCGTGCTTACAGTCACCTACCTCTGGCTCAGCATCACTGCTAAGCATTCCGAGATACTAACCCCTGTGATGGCCGTTATATAAATGGAAGTTGTAACCTCTGCTTCATGCCAATGAAAAAGAGTTTTTTTTCCTCTGTATTTTAGTAATCTGGGCTTTGTTTAGCCGTTTAGGACATTACAATGATATCAGGGACTAACCTTTTTCCTGTGTATGTGGAGACGTTCCTCAGTAAAAAGATGAGGTTCATTATTTTCACCTAATGTCCTTAGCAAGGTAATTATTAACATGCAATGATTTACTTCTTCATTTCAGGTGGAGTCTCCTGATAGGAAAATGAGAAAATTCTTTACTCTGGCTCCATGGGAAAGGGAGCACTTGAATACTCAGCTTTTCCCACAAGGTCCTTATGAAAATGTACCTGTACGTATGTATTTATTAAACTAAAAAATTCTCAGCCGTTAGGATAAGGTTATGTGGAACATAGAATTCTCTAATTACCATCAATGCTGGTGGAGGGGCAGCTATCAGTACTTTGTGCATTTAAACTGTAGTAAGATGGAGAGCATCAGTCTTTTGCTGCATGCTCTTAAAATAAAACTTAAAATCCTATTTTTAAATAAAATAGCCTTATTTCTCAAGGGAAGTTGGGGGTCAGTCAGGCAACAAACAGACTTTTTTTGGATTTTGGATAATTAATTATGGCCCTCAATGACTAGTCGGTAAAATGGAGTTTGTAAAGGTTAACAGCAAGATTGTGAATTAAAAATTCATATAGCAGCAGTTCCACATTACCCTGAATAGAAATATATTTGTCAAGAATGTTAAGATCTAGTGTAGAATCTGTTCTTATCAGTCACTCCTCGGGCTTTGTAGTTCCCTGCAGTGAGCTTGGCCTTTGAGGTCTCAGATCAGTATCGCTGCTGCTATTCTGAACCTCCCCATGATTTATATATGGGAGGCGTTTGTCCTTCGTCTGGGGGAGGGAGGGTTTAATTCAGCTCAGTTTGGGTGAGTGGGGACGACCTCACTGGCTCCCCAAAAATTGTCAAAATGCTGTCGTTTGTCAAACGCTGCTGTTTAAAAATCCAGACAGTGAACAGATTATTCACTAATAACTTAACAGGAGTGAATTCCCAGAATTTCTTTAAACTAAAATATTACTTAACATAGAAGCAACATTTTATTATGACTGTAGCAATGTCACCTCCAAAAAGAAAGTCTATCAGTTTGAGGGAAACCTCAACATCCTCCGAAACCACATTTGAACGCCCATAACAAGGTTTCTGAACAACTATTTTGATTTTAATAAGTTCATATTAATTCAAGTAATTATTCAGATAATACCACCAAAGACTGGAAAGTATTAAATTCTTAAATTATAAAATGCATCAATAGTTATCAGAGTCATACAATATTGTGCAGTGATGTAGGAATATCACCTATGGCTGTTTGTGTACCTCCTCACAATGGCTATTTAGTGGCAGAGATCTTGAAGCAAGTCCTGCACCTGCTCAGCTGATGGCCAGGAAGATCATGGAAAGAGAAGAAAAATTACAGCTTATAAAAGTGAATATAAGATTGCACATCAACGCAATCGAATTGATTGAAATTGTGTTCTTCATTCTAGATGCAAAATCTCCTTACTAGCTCTGTGTTAATGATGCCCATGTCAGAGAGGACAGATGATATTCTGAACAAAGCTCTTACAGTGCAAAGGAGCAGGCAAATGGGCAGTCCTTTACAGGTATGTCTACATTAAAACCAGTTAACTACATAACTTGAACTTCACACAAAATGTTATAGTTTTCCACATGCTAGAAGTTGCAAACTTCTGATATTGGAGTTAAAGACTGTCCAGCACCATGTTGCGACTTGAGCTCATATTGTAGGCTGAGCGTGCATTGTTGGAGTTGCCTTCCTCGGAAATTATGTTACTGGTGCTGCAAACACTTAGCATGTATGCACAGTGCAAGGAAGTGATGCAGTAAACTATAGCCAACTGCGCTGTGTTGAGGTATCCCTGTTTCTAGCAGGCATTAAAGATTCCTTGACACTGTTCAAAAAGAAAAGGGAGTTTCTCTCGATATCCTGGGCTAACAATCCTCTAGATCAGTGGTGCCCAACCATTTTGGTCGGTGAATAAAATACATTTTCTCGATTGAATATTTCTTGATTTATGCCATAAAATATTCAATCAGGATAAACCTGGAAACACACGACCAATCGAACACGGACTTACCTAGACTAATGCAAATGTTCGGTGGCAGCTTCTTGATCGATTGCCATGGGACCACCACACGCTCTAGATGAATTTATAATAATAATAATCCTTGCAGTTGATATAGCGCCTTAACATGTATACACTGTAAAGTGGAGTTACTGTGTGTTTTGTCATTCATTTCATTTAGGGGGCTTTGCTCTGCATAATGCCGATTTTAACTAAACAAAACAACCCCCATGCTTAACAGTAATTACTTGAGAAGGGTTGAGATATTTTGCCATACCAGCCATTATAAATGCACGTTTTCGTTCTTTTAAATATTGTCAATCAAAAATATATATCTAAAAAAAACTCAGTGTTAATTGCTCTTAAGCCCGATTTTCTAATCTAAGAAATGTTTGCCTTTGTGTATTCCCTGTTGTTTTAGAGGGTGATGAGTGTAGCTTTTTATTCTTACACAAGCAAAAATGCTTGATTCTAATATGTACAGTTACCCTAGTTTAAAAGAAGCACTAGTTTCTTACCTAAGGGATTTCACCATCATAACTGTGTGCCAGTGAGAATGAGCTTAACCGATCAGTGAAATGTTACGCCCAGCATCTTAAACTCCAGCAGATGGCTGGTGCAAAACCAGAAAGCTGTTGCCCACTATTTAAATCTCTTGTAATATTGTTTATGGAAAGTTAGAAAAGTGTAACTCTGAAGTACAACTCCGAAGAATCCAAAACCCACTATGCCTAATATTCAGGAGTGCAGAGATTGTTAGGCACAAAGCCTGAGGCCAAGGATGTCATTCCTGAACACTCAGATTGGCAGATCGTATTAGCATATAATAGGATTTCATCTTAACTCAACCGATATCCTGAAGAGCAACAATCAGCTGTCTGTAAACTGATAACTTACATATTTTGTACAGTCGCCCTGTGCAAAGATAATAACTGAACATTTTAAAACCCGTGGGCCCAATGTTGCGCCAATGCAAGACTTAAAACCGATTGATAACTATCAAGGAGTCCTGTAGCTCAGTGGTTAGAGCGCTCGCCTCAGAAGCGAGAGACCTGGGTTCGATTCCCGGCAGGGTGAAACCTTAGGCAAGTTTCCTTACTCCATACGCCTGATAATAATCCTTAAAAAAAATAAAAAAATAAATAATAAAATTGGTCACTTCAATCCATGACTGTTTGTGGGACACTGCTGTGTGCAATTGGCTGCCGTGTTTCGCCCACAAATAATCAGTCAATTTACTTTACAGTCTATTCTGTGAAGCGCTTTGAGACATCTAGAAGACGTGAAAAGCACTATATCAAATGCAAGGATTATTATTATTATTAAGTTGGAATTCTGTCATTTCATTACCGATTGTTATGCAATGTTGCAAATTTACCTCCATTATTTCTTGATAACTAATGGAATTTATCTCCCATTTTAATAGCGAACCAGAAGCTTTTGTTTAAGTAGCACGATTATATTAGATACATTAAAAAAAACTTTACACAGGAGAGTAGTTCATAATTACTATGTAAAAACAGAATAAGACTTTGCATTATATTTATTTTAAATATATTTTATCCAGATCTATGCCTGTTTATATGATCTTACTTACTTATGTTCTCCAAAGCAGAAAATGGTCCAGTAAATGCACAACTGTATAAAACAGCTCTGGGGTCTTTGAAGGCTAATAACAATAAGATACAAATTTTTGCAGTAAAGTAATTTAGCCACAGTGCATCCCAGTTTTTGGTATATCACTTTGCGGGGAAGGGGGAAAGGAGGAGAATAATGGTGTGATTATTGTGTATATGAGTGTGAGAGAAATACTGGCAGCTAGACTGGTGTAATATATTTTCAGGTATCCCAGCTGGATTTGAGAAGTCCCTGGACCTGGACCCCGGTTAGCTGAAACTGTTCCTAGCACTCCGTAGAGCCAGTAAGAGAATCGTACTAGGAACAATTATTTCCAGATATTTCTTTTTTCTCTTTATTATAAAATGGTATCTGCTTTCTGCTTTCACTACTGGTTTAAGATTTTTTCGGGTTTTTGTTAAAATGTTGTTTGTGTGCAAAAAAAAATTCTGAGGTGGCATTATTTGCCCAAAAAACATTTGACGGATTCTGAAAGGTTTGTCATTTAATGTAACATCTAGGTAGTTGTAGTGGCACAAAGTTTTAACTTTTGTATGCATTTTCTTGTAGCCAGTAATGCAGTATTGATAACTGGATTTGCAACTATTTTCCTTTAAAGCTGAAATGTACCTGTATCCTTTCTTACAGCTTGTTAATACCTGGGAAGCTGTGGCTTGTGGGAAGACTGAAGATCAACTCATTATTACTGAACAAGCACACAAATACATGAACACATTTTCCACCAGAACTTTGGTCATGTAATGGTTTCCAACTAAGCATTACGAAGTTTTAAAACACTTTGTGTTGAGTCATAATCAACACTTCTTCTTGTGAAGTTTTCTACTGATGGATGTAGAGCATTGTATTACGATAATTCAGAAATGGCATAAAATGCATTCTGCCACTAAGCACATTTGTTATGTTTATCAGACCAGAATGGTTATATGTCACCAGCCCAAACTAATTCACGAACAAGCATCACACTTGCCTACAATTCTAAATACTTGAAGTTATCAAGATAGCTCCTTGTATTTTTTTAAAAAATAGTTAAATAACTATTTTCAGTGTGCTTTCTTTGCAATAGAAAATACACTGAAACATATCAGTATTTTTTTTATATCTGGTGGTGGACTAAGTAATGGGGCTTTGTAGGTACTCCAAGGTCGATTGATGTAATTTAAACCTGTAAGTTAATAAATTAAATAAAATGCACTGTTGACGAAATAGAGGTATAGCATTACTACAAACCAAATTGAATGAAAAAAAATCAAGCATTTGAAGATAAAAAAATTGCCTGGGTTTGAAGTATTGTTTCTGTTTGAAATGTTTTTGTCTGGTTTTGACCCTATATATATACATATATATATATATACACATGTGTGTTTGTGTGTGTGTGTGTGGGTGCATGCATGTGTGTGCAGCTTGCATAATATTGATACTGTATGTAAAGAAAAGAATAGTTTTATGTATGAGAAATGTATATTTTATTCAATAAGTTAATTTTGTAAATGCCAAATGGCTAATATGTTGTGCTGCTAAAGACTTTAGCATGTAGACATGCTGCATGAAATGGGCAGTGGAGTTTTGAAAGAAAATGGAAGAAAACGGCATTAGCTGGTTAAACATGCACTGTTTTTTAGTATTTTTTTAAAAAAAACTAGCATTTACAAACACAAACGCTTGGGAAATTAAAAGTTTTGTCTTTTGAGTGGCAAAACAAATATAATGCACCTTTTGTATTTTTGGGAGAACACTGATGTATTCACTAAATTTTTCAATTTGTCCAACTGATTTCATATTTAACTCTAGGCACTCTGACCCAGTTATGCTTTCACTGAAAAACTCATGCAAGAAGTCTTGGCTTCATTCTACTGCCATACCAAACATCTCCAGTATACATATTTTGAACACTTAGTTTTAAAACAAAAATTGGTGATTGTTAAAATTTGCTGCCTTAGTATCAGCTACACCTATTTTTTAATTATTGTACATCAACTGCCATGTAAATAAAATGATAAAATAAAGTGTGTTTTTCTACTTAAGATTTGTGTTCTACTGTTTCTGGAATATGTATTTACATTGACGATACACTAAAAATTGTATTTTTTTGGTATGAGTGAGGTTATATGTCATAACTAGGATAAGGACTTAATTATTCTAAAAATACTGGAGTTTGATATTTTTTTCTAAGTCATTTCATACATTAGTCATCATCAAGCAGAATGAATGTTTTGATTTCTCATTTTTCTTATAAACGATTTCTTACACAGCATATTCTGCTGTGTTTACCAATACCATCTGCAGGGTAATATCCTTGCATTTGGTATAGCAGGTTATGTTTTCAAGATGGCTTAAAGCACTTCACAGGACTTTTACAGTGAAGTGTAGTTAATGTATTTTTGAAAGAGAATGTGACTGCCAATTTGCATACAGCAAATGTCCCACTAACAGCCAAGAAAGGAATGAACTTTTTTTTAAATTTGAGGATCAAAAGGATACATACAAATTGTAAGTTAATTTGTATGTAGCCCAGACCATGGAACAAGTGGGGCTGTTTAAATATCTTATCACAATGTACTATTTATTTATACAAAAGCTATTGTTGATAAAATCTGAAAAATATTTGTAGAAACAAAATATAAATTGAGGTCCTATATTCTGTATGACATTGTACAGGAATGCCATAGTGGTGATTCAATTGTTATGCAGACAGTTGGTGTGTGCCCATTTAGATGTTATTTTTGAGGCCATTTAAAAAAAAATTCCATGTATTTATTTTTATTCAATTTGTTTGCCTTTCTGCTCTCTTTTACTTGTGATTGGGTAGAATTTAACACTCAGCTTAGTAATTATATTGATATTGCACTTTTCTTGTCAAGAGAACATCTGAAAGTGCTTCACAGCATTTACTGTAAAGTGTAGTGACTGTATGTACTAATGTTATAGGAATATTCGCATATGAATTTGATGGTGACTGGGCAAGTCATTAATGCTTGGGAGTCGCATCCAAACCCAACCCAACTGTACTCACCTGCCATTCATATTAATTGACTACATTTGGTTAACGCCCTTAAATTGTTCCTCTCTTCCCAGAGCCATAATCAAAGAGCAAAGTACTTGTTCAACAACAAAAATGTACACTTGTATAGTGCCTTTCATTTTGGAGAGTGCCTCAGGCACATTGCAATGATAGAGTGAAAGTCCACGTTGGTGCTGGTGGGGGAGGTTTGGGGTTAAGATGGGTTTTGAAAGTGGGGGGAGGAGGCAGAGGAATGTGAGAAGAGAGTTCAAGAGAAAGGGGACAAAATAATTGGAGGATGGCGAGTGATGAGCTGGGAAGACCAATGAGCAGGATGTTGGAGAGGCCAAGTCCATGCAGATTATTCATGCCAGTAAATAATGCACACATGGATAAGTGGAACTGCAATTTTTTTTATTAAGGTAGTAACTTGGTGGTTACTGAAGTGATCTAAAATGTATCTACAATTCTTTTTCCCATTGTAATTCCTTGATGTAAAAATAATGGACCAGTTACCTAACTCTCAGACTGAGAAGTGCTCAATGGTACGCCTCCATTTTTTCACCTTTAAATTCCTCCAATGGCCTTGCCCCACCCTATCTCTGCAACCTCCTAAAAGCCTACCACCTGGCTGCTCTCTTTGCTTAGCAAACACAGCCTGCTTCATGTCCCCCACCATCAGTGGGTGAGATTTCTGCCGCATGTATGCAGATGACACTCAAATCTACTTCTCCAGCTACGACTCCCAGTCTGCTGATGAGCGCAAATTTAGGCGCTGAATGTAGGCAAGACAATAGCCATATTCATTGGCTCCTGTCAATGTCTTTTCTCCTGCGAGTCTGAACTCCTCAACCGCTCCGGAGTCTCTCTCAGACTCTCTGAACCTGTGTGCAACTTAGGCAGTAGGTTTGATCCCCAGCTTTCCTTTCTACCCCACTTACGTTCCCTGACCAGGGTCGCTTTTTCCACCTCCGCCACACCTCAACCAAAGAAGCCGAAACCCTCGTCCAGACCTTTCTCACTTCCCGGCTGAACTATTCCAATGTCCTCCTCGATGGTTTCCCCCGCTCCACAATATAGAAAATTCAATTAATCTAAAACTTGCCAGGCTCCACTGGTTCCCAATTACTGAACAGATCAATTTCAAGATCTTCTTACTCATTTTCAAATCCCTTCAGGCCCTCGGATCTCTTTAACTATCCAAAGTGCTTACCTCCCTCTCCTCCCGCCACTCCAACTCCACCACCCACCCGCTGCATCCACTTGGCTGGCTCCAGCCTCCTGTTTATCTCTCGTGTCCTCCGCTCCACCATCAGTGGTCATGCCTTCAGCCACTATGCCCCAAAACTATGGAACTCTCTCACTCAATCCCTTCCCTCCCCACCTTCCATCCCGCTTTTTTAATTGTGCTTACACTCACCTCCACCCTCCCTCTTCCCCTGGCTAGGCCTTAGACTCTGCCAATGTCAAGCACTCCGGGACCCAGTGTGAAGGGCACTATATAAATGCAAATTGTTGTTCTCCCTCCACTCTCTGGAACTCCATCCAGAGTCCATCTGACTCACCCCTTCCCTTCCTACATTCAACGTCCGCCTCAAGACATGCCCTTTTGACCACGTGTTTGGTCATCTTTCCCCCCCCCCACCAGCTCCCTTCCCCAGCCAGCAACCTTCTAATGTAAAAGATCCTATAAAAATCTGCTATAAAGTACAGCACCAATGACAGAATTTGGGGTAAAATAAAGTAACGAGTCTTAAAATGATAGTAAAAATATGTAGGCCTTATTTTTATGGCACTAAGATATCAATGTAAAAACCTTAATTGACCCTCATTCATGTATTTGTTTCCCACCACCGTTAGTTTGTTTTGTAATTTCCATGTTAGACTGCTTTAAGACCATGCTAATTTACAAGAGAGACACATTGGCATAAAGATGATGCCCACTACTATAGAAAGGATTACCATGGCAGTTTGGACAGAACGTAGGGTGGGAAACATGTTCCTTTCAGTGAACGTTCTTTATTTTCAGCTGTTGCAGCCTTCCTCCATGATTATCTATCTCAAATCTGTGTGTGCAGTGAAGTGTAGCTCCTTATCTGATCTTCCGGTGTAGTTTACCATTGAGAGGGTATCTCCTCCCCAAACGGTCTTGAGAAGCCATTGCGACACCTGGAAGAGTTGTAAATAGCACCAATACATTCCCCTATTGATATGTTTTCTCTGAATAATTAAAAAAAATTTACAACATACTTTTCACTAATGCTATTTGCAAAGCATTGTGCCTTTGATAGATGATCAGATCCTGTGGTCTGACATTCAATAAAGTATTTTCTCACCCCATGAATTGTGTATGTTTTTCAAACTATTGTGTATTGTTCAGTTACTGTGACAGAGATCAACACTAGATAGATGTAAACAGCAAGCATGGCTTCTGAAGGCAACAGATCATGCCCAGATTCAAATAACTTGCTAGTTATGGAGTGGGTGGAATAACTGTACTCCAGCCTTGGTTATCTCCTCCAATGTTGTTAGATGAAGGAAGCTAATTAATCTTACTAACTAGGCAGTCAGAGGGTTCTCACTTGCCAGGATGTAATAGACTGATCTGCATCTCACTTGCTGTCAATTTCTAGGGAAGATGCCCACCTCTCCTAGATTATGAGCACAAATGAACAGATGCAAAAAATCCTGATATTAAATCCTTCAATGATTGGCTACTGGAATGTCAACCCTTTTATGCTGTTAAAGCTGCTGGTGAAATTTTATAGCAAGTTGTAATTACCACCAATGTCATTAAAATACACAGTCAATCCGCTTTACAGTTTATCCTATGAAGCGCTTTGAGACGTCTCAATGACGTGATAAGGCTCCATATCAAATGCAAGAATTATTGATTATTATTAGTGAATAGCAATTGACCATATTCCTAAGAGCTAGTTTTAATTGAATTTAACTTTTAATAAC